AGTTTTGATACAATCCCTTCAGGGCCTGTTCACATGATATCAGGTCCTGATCAGGTGCGGATCTGCAGACTGATGCAGTGCGTTTTTGCCACGTTTTGATGCTGGAGTGGGGCTGTTAGTATGTTAGCTGCAGTGCAGTATGTTAGGCTGGGCACACACCTTACAACCATCGCAAGACTTTTGTCTTGCGATGGTTGTAAGGTACTTAAAAAAACGTACGATCTGCCTATGTTGCATAGGCAGATCGTACTTGCGATGATCGCAAGCCACGCCCCCTGAGGGGCGGGCTTCCGATGACCGCAATGCCGAATGGGCCGGGTGCGCTTTATCCGTAAGTTTAAAGTCGTGCGACCTTACAGTAGTAGAGGTCGCACGGCTTCCACACACCTTACGATCATCGTACGATCGCGGGATTTCACGCGATTCTCGTACGATAATCGTAAGGTGTGTGGGGACCCTTAGCTGCAGTGCAGTGCGTTTTTGCCACGTTTTGATGCTGGAGTGGGGCTGTTGGTTAGTATGTTAGCTGCAGTGCAGTGCGTTTTTGCCACGTTTTGATGCTGGAGTGGGGCTGTTAGTATGTTAGCTGCAGTGCAGTGCGTTTTGCCGCGTTTGCGTTGCCAGACTGGACAAAATGTGACATGCAGTATTTTTCTGTCGTAAGCTGAACAGACTGCGCACGTGAGAACTGGAGCCCATAAAACACATAAAATGCATCCCAATGTATCCCTGAGTGCCGCAGCGTACGGATCAGGTCAGCACAGAAAAGGGACGTCGTGGGAACAGGCCCTCAATGTTTGTTCCTCACAAGTTGTCCTCTGAGCTGAGCCTGCAGCATCTTTCTCATCCCGCAGTATAATGTCTACAGGCCCAAACGAATCAGTCCCATCAATCCCACCCCATCCTGCTCACACTCCCTGTCACTCATCCTTCGGCACAACCGGCATGACTGTAATAACTGCAGTGCACCTTACAATATACATCAGGGGTAGGACACCTCAGCACTCCAACAGTGCTGAAACTACAAATCCCACCTTGCCTCTGGGAGTCATGCCTGTGGCATGCAATACCTCATGGGACTTGTAGTTCCACAACAGCTGGAGGGCTAAGATTGCCTACCTCAAATATAGATATATATATATATATCTCTCATCAGGGGAGTCTTATTAACAGGGCTTGAAAAATTTTAGGGTGTCTCACCAAAAATGAGAAATCAGTCAGCATGACCGCACTATAGCCATGCAATTTATGTTAAAACATTTTTAGGGACATAGAGCTTTTTTTTTGGTGGTATATAATCACCACAATGCTCGGGCCCGGCACATTTTGAGCACAGGAAGCATGCTCGGGCCCGGCACATTTTGAGCACAGGAAGCATGCTCGGCACATTGTAAATTGCGAGATACATTTTTTCCCTACGTTATGTTATTATGAAACATTTATTCTTACCCATATTTTTGGTAAAATATAAAATAGGGGTCACGTTGGGTAAATATACCTCACTTCCTGCATTTGGGGACCGGAGAGGAGATCAGAGGGAGAATCGTGCCACAGAGCAGCCGCGCGGTTCCTGGCCGTGCCTGGCACAGTGGACCTCGGGACCAGCAACGGCAGGGACGGGGTAGAACCGCAGCCAATACACGCCATCGGGTGTCTCTCCAGATGCCCCTTTGCTTGAATGTAAACCGCCATCCAAGAAGCTCCTGGCCGGCCGTCTTAATTACAACGGCCAGCTGGGAAACTACTTGTCTGGCTCTAGCGACCAGAGGATTTTCCAAGCCCTGCTTATGAAGAATGAGGACGAGAGATCCGGCTGTTGGCGATTCTCATCATCGATGAATCAATCAGTTGGCTGCAGCCCTAGTAAGACGATTTCATATCGGTATGCAGAGCTGCACGCTGAAGTGATTTTTAGTGAAAGGGGGGAAAGGTCCGCGCTAATTATAGTGAGCCAGCTGTACAATTCACCATTGCCAATACTAGCTGCAGCCAAAAACAAGTCCAGTCCAGACACGCTCACTTGTATGACCTTTTATAAAGTTATTTCTGGTATAGGAAACACATTTTCAGATGACCCTTTAAAGCAAGAGTGGGAAACCTCAGCACTCATGCTCTAAGTCCCACGAGACCATACAAGACACTGACAGCTACAGGTATGACTCCCAGGGGCAGATGCATGCTGGGATTTGTAGTTTCACCACAGCTGGAGTGCCCTAGGTTGCCTACCTCAGCTTTAAAGTGTCCAAGCTCCGAAAACAAGTGCACCAACGGGAAACAATGCATTGCATCGGTGTCCCATTCCAATAACCTGAACCCTCGTTCCTGTACAACAATGACACGAAAACACAACCTAAAAACAAACATTCACAGGGGAGTTCTAAATCAGCATTCAGTCCTAACAGGTTTTTTGTTTTATTATTATTCCTAAAATATAAAACAGAACGGAGCTCTCATGATAAAAGTGTTTTAGAATTTATACAACAGACAATATATACAACTTATACAATATCTAGCCTACAATTGGAACAGTAAAAACTTTCTTACCGGGACGCACTGGAAATTCCGCGCCCAACGGGGCCTCTTCCTAACTAGAAGTCACCTCCCAACCAGGGGTCACCTTCCTAACCAGGGGTCACCTTCCTAGCCAAGGGTCACCTCCCAACCAGGGGTCACCTTCCTAACTAAGGGTCACCTCCCAACCAGACACAAATTTGAGGGCCTTTTTCAAGTGCGATTTAAAGGACACAATCTAACCTAGTGACTCCACCATTCCCCCCCCCCGAGAGACTGACTATAGGGTCTACTTCAGGGGTGGGCAACCTCAGCACTCCAGCTGCTGTTGAACTACAAGTCCCATAAGGCATTGCAAAACTGTGACTGCCAAAGGGATGAGGCAGAGGCATGATGGGATGTGTACACCTGGTCTACTTCAAAGAAGGGAGTTCTTAAAGGAGGTCATTCAGAAAAAGTGATTTTCAGCCCTCATCTCAATAACTTACACAGGAGAGCTAAAGGCTGCCTAAAGCTTCCCAAAAGTATTCCAAAGAATGTTCCCTGCGATAAGAGCACTCGGAATTCTTTCCGGGAGGGGCCAAGTCAGAACTTAAAGTGGTACTACAAGCTTCCCATAGGTAATCCAAAGAATGTTCCCTGTGATAAAAGACTCTGAATACTTACCTCTTTGGTGGGCAGTGAGTGTGAACTCCCATGCTCAAGTGGCAAAAAACTTGAAATCTAACACATCGGATGCCTGACCAAAACTACTATGTCCTGGAGAAACCACAGTGCGCGGCGGTCGGGGGGGCACAAGCGTTCTAACACTTCTGGACACCTTGACGCTGAAGATTTTGCCGGAGGCTGTATCACCTGAGCTCGGGCCCTTAGACAAACCGCCCACTGAAGAGGTAAGTATTGAGAGTCTTCTATTGCAGGGAGCATTCTCTGGATCACTTTTGGGAAGCTTGTAGTACCCCTTTAGGTTCTGACTCGGCTCCTGCTGGAAAGGAAAGTATTCAGAGTGTTCTTATTGCAGGGAACATTCTTTGGATTTTTGTGGGTGGGGGGGGCATTACATTGTAGGACAAACTAGCATGTTTTCTTCTACACCTCACTCCCCAGCAATACATCATCACCATTTCCTACACTTTATTTAGCTGAAGTGAAGAACTTGCCGAGTACGTCTGGATAGTCCATAACAGTGCTGGGCTGATCACCAAGCACTGGTGCTGACACATGGCGAGAGCCCATAGTCCGGTGTAAGATTTGACTTTAGTGACTCACAGGGCGGTTACTTCTTCCCCAGACTGGAGCGACGGGCAAGCACAGGGAAGGTTAGTATGTACTGAGACAGAGGGCAGGGATTATAGTGAACCCGAGTTATTTTTTTCCTCAGCTTAGGCAAGAAACAGGTTTAGTTTAAAGAAAACCTCAAACAAAAAAATAAATGAAAAAGCGTCAACCTGTACAAGAACAGTAATAAATACTTACCTTTCCTACCGCCCACACCTATCATCCATGCTCATGTGGAAAGCTACAGCAGCTAAAGAATCTTCAGCATCTGGCACAATGTCAGCTCAGAAAGCGTGCTCAGGCCCAGCACATTGTGAGCACAGGAAGTGTGCTTCATCCATGCTCATGTGGAAAGCTACAGCAGCTAAAGAATCTTCAGCATCTGGCACAATGTCAGCTCAGGAAGCGTGCACTGGCCCAGCACAATATCAGCTCAGGAAGCGTGCACTGGCCCGGCACAATGTCAGCTCAGGAAGCGTGCACTGGCCCGGCACAATGTCAGCTCAGGAAGCGTGCACTGGCCCGGCACAATATGAGCACAGGAAGCATGCTCAGGCCAGGCACAATATGAGCACAGGAAGCATGCTCAGGCCCGGCACATTTTGAGCACAGGAAGCATGCTCGGCACATTGTGAGCACAGGAAGCATGCTCGGGCTCGGCACATTGTGAGCACAGGAAGCGTGCTCAGGCCCAGCACATTGTGAGCACAGGAAGTGTGCTTGGACTCGGCACATTGTGAGCACAGGAAGTGTGCTTAGGATAGACAGTTTGGGTGAACAAGATGCCTGGACCCCCTGCTAAGTGCTGTGCTTCTGACCATCAACTGATATAACAGAACTGTGGTGGCCGTTGGGTGGAACCACAGCATACAGAGGGGGGTGGGGGGGTGCAGGCATCTGACACACCCAAAAGTGTTGAATACTGGATTTGCAGTGTGTGCAAGAGAGTAACAACCTTACTTAGAAGCCAATCATCAGACTTGTTATAAAAGGGATGTACTGCCGTACTACAATCATAGAACTAAGTAAGCATCTATGTCTGCAACTCCCTTCCATTACATGGCTAATTTCACTTCACAGCTCATGCTACACTCAACGCTCAGCATTCCTGTGCACATTAATAATTGGAGGGCTGAAAATCCACTCGTCTCCCTTTACAATGAAGCATAAAACGTTCCTACGGATACTTCACAGACTCAGCAGAACACTTGTCATCTGTTCTGAGGGCAGTTAGTGCGGTTGTGGCCTGGCTGGTGACAGATGCCACATGTGCGCTGTCTCTTGGCTGTCGGAGCTCTGTCTGAGTTATCAGTTCTTTTATTTTTCTGGCCAAATCCTCGCTGTGCTCCAGACCCTCCTCCGAATGTGGTGGGATAATCTCCAGAGGGACCTGGATGAAGAGACAGGATATTAATGAGGAGCCGCGATGGGGTACATTTGCTCCAGGGCAGGTTACTGGGCAGTACAATAAAGGCAGATAGGTCATTTAATTCATACCACCATGCCATCTGTGGTGGTGTAATAATACATTCGCATGCACTTAATATGGTTGAGGATCCCTCTATTTAGCAAGTTATTAGGTACACGGAGGCCCCATTTCCGCCTGCATTGCTTACCTGGAGGGACGTTCTCGTCGGCCCACTGGAAGAAGCCACACTGTTGCTCTCTGGGTTTTGCACAGGTGTGGAACTGTCTGCCTTTGTTGGCCCCTTCTTTCTGCACGGTGAGCGTGATGGCCGGCTGATTGCAATTACACATTCCCTGTCCTCCCGATTCTGAGTCCCTGCTTCCTCCCGCCATCCGGAACCCTTCAGAGACCCTAGAACTGTTGAAAGAGGTTGATGGACGTTCTGCAGACATCTGCAGCGCTGGGGGACTCCTGCCAGGCCCGCTCTCCTGATCGGCCCACAGAAAAAAATTGCAGTTTCCGCCGTTGCACTTGTAGAACGGGCGCCCCTGGTTGGGACCCTCTTTGCGCACGGTGAGCTGCACAGCGCTGACACCACAGTTGCACACCACTTCGTTATTATCAGGGTTGTCACCGATGGGCGGAGCACTTCTCTGCACAGCTGGTGTCACCAGTTGAGGCTTTCTGTCTTTTTTGGCGGGCGGTTGTCTGTTTTGGCCGCCTCGACCATTGGTAATTCGGTTACTTGTCTGGTTAACCTGCAGGTGATTGTTCTCACGGGAAGGGCCAGACTGGGGTGCTCTGCTGCCACCATGTAGATATTTCAGATCCAGGATTTCTCTAAGAGTTTCATCGCAGCCACCAATGCAGCCCACAAACTCCAGGGGCATCAGAGGGGGGATGCTGCCACGCTTGAACTTCAGCTTCAACCTGCAGAAGAAAAAACAAAAGGTCAATTGATAAATCGATCTGTAAGGTGAGCAAAGATGGCCACACACACTGAGGGTTCAGAAAGGAACGGTCAGCCCCCTGACCTCATGTAACATGTTAGTTCTGTATTTTATGAGTTGCGAGATCTATTACGTTGAATGGATGAGCATTTCATGAAACTATTAGTTATTTCTACTCTATCAGCAGGGGATGAACCCACCTCATTCCTGGTTTCACCACCGCCAGTCCCCACATGTTCCACCAACATCGTTCAGCCTCCTAGGGAAAGCTGCCACACTTGCACCAAATAAAATCAGCGAGCGAATACTGTTGTCTTTATGGCAACCTTTAGGAAACGTGTGATAAGAATATGCAAGCTGCCCAATGCTGACCTCTTATACATGCTGATCCCCCAACAAGCCTGAGGCAAGCAAAGCCAGTACCCCTGATTTGCATACTTGTTCTGGTCTGCCAGTGAAATGATCTGAAAGTAAGCTTGTGTCCAACTTGATAATAAGGTCGACCTTCTGCCTGTTAAATGCTGTGCCCTGCTAAATACTTTTTTGTGTAGGGATGCACAGATACAGATACTAGTATTGGTTCCCGAGTATTTGGGGCGAGTACTCGTCCAATTGCTCCGATGCCTAGCCCGATACTTGAGCTTCCAGTATCAGGAAGCCGAGCAGCGTGTCATTACATGCCCCCCCAGCTTTCTGAATGCCCAGAAAGCTGGCTTCATGCTCCCTTGTCACCTGATGACGAGGGAGCATGGAGCCGGCTTCCCGGCCAATCAGGAAGCTGGGCGACGTGTAATGAGGTATTGCCGGGCATCCTGACTGGCCAGCTTCTCGACCAATCAGGTTAATGGGCAACGCGTCATTACACGGCACCCAGTTTCCTGATTGGCCAGAAAGCCGGCTCTATGCTCCCTCATCACCTGGTGACAAGGGAGCATGGAGACGGCTTACCTGCTAATCAGAAAGCCTAAGGGCAAGACTTTACATGCCGCCCAGCTTCCCGGCTAAATCAAGCCAGGTGGCGAGTCATTACACGCCGCCTGGCTTCCTTAATGGGACTTCCGGTATCGGTATTGGCAAGTACCAATATATATATATATATATTTTGGTACTCTTAACTGAAAAAACGGTATCGGTGCATCCCTAAACTTCGTTGGGCCACTAGATAACTTCGTTGGGCCGCCTCGTGACTCCATCGTGATGCGAGGAATCTGACACGGCACTGTTGCCCTTCTGTTGTCTTGTACCAGTCTTGCCACTCTCCGTTCTGCCCTAACATTGACTAGTCGCTGACGGCCACAATTCGCACGTTCAGACCCAGATTTTCGGCTGACAGTCCGGTCTTTAAACACTTTAACGACAGCTGCTCTTGAACATTTAACGAATTCTGCTGTTTTGCTGATACTCGCTCCATGGCTCCGAGCGCCAACAAGCATCCCACGTTCAAAGGCTGTTAAGTTGCGTTGTTTAGCCGTATCTTCAGAAACAAATCACTTCTACTGTCGTGGTAAACAACCTGCTTCCCTATTTATAATTGTCTGGCCCTCTAGCAACTTCAGCGTAAAATTATAGCCAATTAGCCTACAAACGTCAGGTGGTCATAATAATCTGGCCACTCAGTGTATATATAATCAGATAGATGGAGACATCAATCCAGGCACAATAGGCAGGTACATGTACATCAGACTGTGCCTTGTCTGGCCAGATTTGCTCTTTATTTCCCATAATGCACTGTGTGAGAGTATCTGCCTGCTAAGGGGACCACTTTCTTTTCTCAGAAACAATACCAGGTCGGGCTGAACGTGTACTCACTTGTGTACCGGATGAGGTCTGCACACATCGCACACGCTGTCATCTCGTGACACCTCCAGAACTGAACTGGGCAACCAGATTGATGCTTTACAGCTGGGATAACCCAAACACGAAATGAAGAACCTAAATGAGAGAGAGAAGATAGTGATATTAGTGGGGGAAAGACTTCTCCTATCCAGTGAAGGAGAACAGTGGGATGTCCAACTGGGAGCACTTCTGTCCCTCGATTAACATCAGGGGGCATAACATGGCTGCTCCCTTGCTCTCACTCACCCTCCATCTCTCTTGGTCTTCAGCACCATATCCCTGTTGCAGTGTGGACATTTTCGTATAGGCACTGGCGTTTCTGGGTAGATCTCCTGCTGTTCCGCAAGTTGTGCTGCCTGGCCAAAGTACTGAGACAGAGCATCGTCCAGCCTGGTAAGCGAGAGCACAGAACCGGGGGAGAGGGGTCAGTTAATATGCTGCGGAGCAAGCAGCTAGCAAGAGCCACTGCAACACAATGTACAATGTTATCCTAAAGTGGACCTTCAAGTCCACATTAATAAAATTCCTAACAATTAAATCCAGTGTAGTGACTTTGACTAGGCTGAAATGATGTCACAAGTCTGCTGCATGAAAGAAGAAACATTTTCTTGTCTCCTCTCTCCCAGTCATCAGACTACAGCATTGTAGTTTTGCAGCACGTCACAAGGCAAGAGGCTGCAGCAAAGGCTCATGTGTGTCAGACATTTGTGAACAACAGAATCTATATGGCTGTGTCATTTCTGAGCCAGCATATCAGTCCAGAAGTAGATGGTGACCCTGGCTGATACCTGAACAAGGATCATGCCAGCCTTCTAGAGAGAAAAGCGCAAAAGACTTTCTCACGGGGTAAGGGGGGAGGAGGGGGGTAGTGTGATCTCTGTAAGGCAGGGGTAGCAAACCTCTGGCCCTCCAGCTGTGGTGGAACTACAAATCCCATGAGGCATTGCAAGATTCTCACAGCCACAGACATGACTCCCGAAAAGAGATGCATCATGGGATTTGCAGTTTCACCACAGTTGGCGGGCCGGAGGTTTGCTACCCCTGCTGTAAGGGGTAATAAATACTTGGAAGTGTTACACTTACACATTACTTAGCATGCATTACAAATATGCCTGTACATTGGACAAAAAACGCCCCACTAAACCAACCCAATTTTAAAATAACTTCTGACACTAAAGTGTACGTCTCGGCAAACAAAGACATGTCCAGTAGACCTCTGCAATACATGAACACCCTCCCATGTTGTCTGCTACAAGTACAGAACAATACCTGTTGATCTGCCAGAAATCCAGTGAGCTCCTAACTTCCCGAGTAGGCTGACAGCACTGGGTCTCTGCTGTACTGACACCCGGAGCAGTGGAGTTCCTTTCCTGGATTACAGAACTCCTTGCCCTTTACGTTACAGTCGCAGGAGAAGCCACCACACTCTATTTGTAAGGTAAAAGCCCGAAGCTCATCCAGAAAAATAACCAAACAAATCCAAAGTGAGTATAAAAGGCATTTGCGGATCTTGCAGCAGAGACAAGCCAAAGCATCAGCAAATTATCCACGTTTCCACACAAGACACATCTTCATAAAGACGGATTCAACTCCACTTAAACTTTGACAATAAAATGCTGATGCTTTGACTTATCCCCCTTAAGTTATGAAGATGAGGAGGGAGGTGCTCTGTAGTCTAGCAGGACAAAGGCATTGTCTGGACAGGGCTGATAACACTGCTTTAGATGTCAGTACAGCAGAAACGCAGAGCTGTCAGTTCAAACAGCAAGTTGGGAGCTCACTGGATTTTCTGACAGATCATCAGGCATGCTGAAAAATGCTTCAAGGTACAGGAAAGCACCTTGTAGCATTTTTCAAGTGACAAATCATTGGAGGATGCACATGTACTGCAGAGATGTACAGCATATGCATGCCCAAATATACACTGTAAACAAGACAGGGGTGGACAAATTTGGAATTCAGGAGCCAGCTCCATTGACGACAACTAGAGAAAAAATCAAAAGTTAGAAGCCGGCTGTAATGTTTCAGGAGCATTGGCTACCTGGCTCCTGGAATTTGTCCAGCCCTGAACTAAGACATGATATAGCCATTGCTGGGTACTATAAGCTCTTAATAACAGGCTGACCCCTCTTAGTTAAAGCAGTCTAGAATTTGTATTTAAAGGAGAAACCCGGCTCACTTGTTGGCTTTGGCTGCAGCCTCTATGAAGACCTGCTTGTATTTCTGCACTTGCTGTCTCAGGACGGTGAACTTGTCCTTTTTGCCTTCACAGATGAGTTTTAGATCTGCCTCCAGCTCTGCCCGTAAGTCTGGCTTGGACATCTCAAAGCCCATGGAATCATATCCTAAGGAAGAAATGAAGAGGGATACCAGGTCTTATGGATGGAGGGGTAACTGCTAATACACTGGGAACAATAAAATACATCTGAACGTTTCTAGTACTGGAGAGAAGAAATCCAGGGCTTACCCTCCACCAGGCCCATCCCCAACTCTCCCGGAAGGAACCTCTGTTCAGGGGTAAGTCCAACGTACATACGCGACTTAATGGTTTCAATGTGCTCTGCATGGGTCGCGTCAGTGCCTGCCAGAAAACCAAACACATATTATGTACATCAGCCACTAGAAACCGCAAAAAAGGATAAATCCAATATAACCTAAGCTAGCCATTCATGGTTTGATGTAGAAGATGTAGAGAACTGCACTGCTCCACTATACTCCAAGCTTCAAGTCTCTACAGTTAAGCCCGCCATAGGTTGGCAGCCGCTAGGCTGGGACAACCACCATGCTGGCTGCTGGTCTTGAATAAAGTAGCTTTAGTGACGTCCATGGTGAGAGTGGCACTTTTTTCTGGACATTCACGGCTTGAGTTCTATCTAATCCCTGCTAAAATGGCCCAAATCCAAGCTGTGGGTGGCTCTACAAAATCCTATCAGATGCAGTCACTGTTCGGGTATTCAGGCAGCTGCAGGTTCCTCCATCTACACAGTTAATGTAGATGGGGGGAATCAAGTGATTTATTTCCTTCAGCCTGCGGGACTGAACAGGAAAAGTCTACACATGTATGGGGGAATCAAGTGATTTCCTTCAGCCTGCGGGCCTGAACAGGAAAAGTCTACACATGTATGGGGAAATCAAGTGATTTATTTCCTTCAGCCTGCGGGCCTGAACAGGAAAAGTCTACACATGTATGGGGAAATCAAGTGATTTATTTCCTTCAGCCTGCGGGACTGAACAAGAAAAGTCTACACATGTATGGGAGAATCAAGTGATTTGTTTCCTTCAGCCTGCGGGACTGAACAAGAAAAGTCTACACATGTATGGCTAGCCTTACAAGAGGCAGGTGCAGAGTTATAATTAGCAGAGAGAAGATCTCCATGTGTTATCATTCCTCCACATTCTAATCAAAGGTTGGGACAAGCCTCACTCACAAGGAGGGTGGGCCTAGCTGTACTCTCCAGCACAAGTGTCTGGATAGCAAGATTGGCTGAACAGAGTAACAAATCTTTTGATAGGTAAAGCATTTCAAGTATGTGTAATAAACCCCTTGCCCTGAGGTCGGCTTTAAGGATTTTTCACAGACCCTTTTGTATATTTTCTATATCCAAAAAGAATTTAACCTGTGAGACCATTTCATATTTTTTTTAAAACATTTCAAGTTTTCAAGGTGACACAGCAGCAAGACACTTTCCGCCTTGTGTGAGAATGAATAACAGTGCGCAAAACGTTCAACCAATCAGCTTGACATCCCATTGCTAAAGCGGGTTAGAACAGAGAAGAGAACAGCTAACTTGTTGATTGGTTGTTAGAATAGAATCAAAGACTCTTCTTCATCTCAGACAAGTTATGACGTGCTTCACAATCAGATTCAGATAGTAGAAGAATGTCACCAGCATCCCAGACCGATCATTGCAGCAAATAAGCGTCCATTTATTGACATAGGCTGTCCCTCATTTGCAAGCGCTTTTGGGGCCGCACAGGGTCCCCTTCATCAGGCTCGCTCTCATGAAAGGGACCCTGTGTGGCCCTGAAAGCGCTTGCAAATGAGAGACAGCCTATGTCAATAAATGGGCGCTTACTTGCTGCAATGATCAGTCTGCTGTGCTGGTGACATTCTTCTACTACCTGTTTGTTGGCAGCGCCATCCAGTTGCTTGTGTATCCATATGGGAATCCCGGTAAGAAGTACAGCAAGGATCTCCTTTCTTGTTCACAATCCGGTTCATTCCCAATGGAACCTGCTAGACACAAAGCAAAGGCATTGCAATGTATGGGGAAATCAAGTGATTTATTTCCTTCAGCCTGCGGGCCTGAACAGGAAAAGTCTACACATGTATGGGGAAATCAAGTGATTTATTTCCTTCAGCCTGCGGGACTGAACAAGAAAAGTCTACACATGTATGGGAGAATCAAGTGATTTGTTTCCTTCAGCCTGCGGGACTGAACAAGAAAAGTCTACACATGTATGGCTAGCCTTACAAGAGGCAGGTGCAGAGTTATAATTAGCAGAGAGAAGATCTCCATGTGTTATCATTCCTCCACATTCTAATCAAAGGTTGGGACAAGCCTCACTCACAAGGAGGGTGGGCCTAGCTGTACTCTCCAGCACAAGTGTCTGGATAGCAAGATTGGCTGAACAGAGTAACAAATCTTTTGATAGGTAAAGCATTTCAAGTATGTGTAATAAACCCCTTGCCCTGAGGTCGGCTTTAAGGATTTTTCACAGACCCTTTTGTATATTTTCTATATCCAAAAAGAATTTAACCTGTGAGACCATTTCATATTTTTTTTAAAACATTTCAAGTTTTCAAGGTGACACAGCAGCAAGACACTTTCCGCCTTGTGTGAGAATGAATAACAGTGCGCAAAACGTTCAACCAATCAGCTTGACATCCCATTGCTAAAGCGGGTTAGAACAGAGAAGAGAACAGCTAACTTGTTGATTGGTTGTTAGAATAGAATCAAAGACTCTTCTTCATCTCAGACAAGTTATGACGTGCTTCACAATCAGATTCAGATAGTAGAAGAATGTCACCAGCATCCCAGACCGATCATTGCAGCAAATAAGCGTCCATTTATTGACATAGGCTGTCCCTCATTTGCAAGCGCTTTTGGGGCCGCACAGGGTCCCCTTCATCAGGCTCGCTCTCATGAAAGGGACCCTGTGTGGCCCTGAAAGCGCTTGCAAATGAGAGACAGCCTATGTCAATAAATGGGCGCTTACTTGCTGCAATGATCAGTCTGCTGTGCTGGTGACATTCTTCTACTACCTGTTTGTTGGCAGCGCCATCCAGTTGCTTGTGTATCCATATGGGAATCCCGGTAAGAAGTACAGCAAGGATCTCCTTTCTTGTTCACAATCCGGTTCATTCCCAATGGAACCTGCTAGACACAAAGCAAAGGCATTGCAGTGTTATAGGTAATACGGTTACAATTGGGTTGGCTGGTTCACCTATTCCGTGTTTCTCCATTAGAGATATGAGATCGGCTTCTGTTAGCAGCTGTGGTGCGGAGGTCTCACCATCTACCATCTCCACCAAGGTGGGCTGGAACCTCTGACCCATATCATACACAGGGATGACCTGAGGGAATAATACATCACACACTAAATTCCAATGTAAGTTATGCTATAAAGCTAGTTGCTGGCTCCCCCCCACCCCAGGTACCCTGTTGGTGGTAGGAAGTCAGAACAGGAGATGCTGAGTGTTCAGGACTTGTGGACCTAAACTCCAAAGAAAGATTGCTATCTTATAGTCAACATCCAGAAATGTTATTTGTGCCTAAGCAGCACCTTGAATTACCTTTTGCCTTCCTCCACCTGAAGAAAAGCAATGCACTTCCTGTGCCTTCAGCCTCATACTACAATGAGATCATCTACGGCACTTCTGCCTCTGACTGCTATTCTTACCAGATTCAGAGAAAGATTGGTTATTTCCCTACTGCGTTCCTCACTGTTCTCCTTGCTGGAGAGAAAGCTGTACCTGAAGACCTGCAGTGCAAGGATGTCTTTGCCCCTGCTTCATTCATTCTGTGGATCTAAGCTTTCTCCACCGTTCCTGTTACTTATTGATAATGACCCGACCAGTCATCAGGGAAGCATAACCCTGCCTTAATTAAGAGAACAGACTCTACACAGTGTCAGAACAAGGCATGGTAAGTCAGTGATGGGGAATAGATAAGCTGCAGGGAGCCCACAAGGCAATACTGGTGCTTAGTCCTTGGCCCTCCGCTTCTGGGTTTTGGTCACTGCTTCCACAGTACAGGTCCTCTTTAACTTCCCAGGCCTGTGCACATGCCAACATAATTACTAAGGAGTCCAAGCAGCAGGTGTGAGACCCTACGGTGACCAGGAACCCAAATGGCAACTATAGAACTCATTGGCACTGGAGGCCCGAAGGAGGTACAAAAAGCTAGTGGCTGATTTACACTGCTAGACCCGACCTATAGCTGAAGTATTGCTTCTACATGGAATGACCCTTTAATACAATGGCATATTCTACATATACAGAGTTGAGCTTCCAGTCAGGTAATACAGAACCTCACAGTCATACTACCGTACAAGTTACAAGTATCAGCACTTTCTTCACCTTTGTGTTCCACTTGTCGTACGGATAGACATCCAGGTAGTTTCTGGCGATAATCATCAGCCCGTGAGCCACAAACCTCTCGGCGGCGATGTCGATCTCTACGGTGGTCTCCTGCCCCTGAGCGTCCTGGGAGCAACAGGCCAAGAAATGGCGCACAATGAACTCGTAGATGCGCTTCTCATTTGCCTGGAAGCAGAGAGGTCAAATAAACACTTGCAGCCTTCGGAAATGATAGCCGTACCTCTAGAGGCATTCCTCCTCTCTCATATTGTTACTGTGTGGATGAGGGTGAACGCACCACAAGAGGACCTGTCATCTCTGTGCAAAGTCAGCTGGTGCTCGGCAGTGGATTAAAGTATATCTAAAGCCAAACAGGGTAGTTTTTCTTCTGTCATTGTCCTATTGGGGAGATTCCCTTCATTTCTTATCCTGGATACAAAACAGGAAGTAATTGACAGATGTCACTGGAAGAAGTGCCCCAGTTGGAAGATTTCCTCTCTTTTCTGGTTTCAGTGACAACTGTAAAATATTGGATTTTGCCCGCCTTAATTCCAAGCTTGAGAATGTCCAATATCATCTAGCCCAGGGATGGGCAACTCTGGCCCTACAGCTGTTCTTTAACTACAAATCCAAACATTCCTCTGGGAGACATGTCTGTAACTGTCAGTCTTGCAATGCCCCATGGGACTTGTAGTTCCACAACAGCTGGAAGGCCAGAGTTGCCCTTTCCTGATCTAGCCCTTTCCTCCCCAGCCTTACGGTCCCTGGCCCGCTTATTTCATTTATTGGATTTCAGATATATAAATCATGGAGGCTCAGCATTATATGTGGGTGTTGCCTAGGGCAAGCCGTATGTAAATTAAGTCTGCCTGGAACTCCAACTCCTCCAGAGTGACCCATCAAGGCATTATGAAATTCGCATAACTCCTCCCAAGAACCATCCCACTGCTTGCATCAGGGCTTAGGGCTCTAAGAGGAGTACAGAGGCAAAGAATTAGGAAGCTATGTACAGCACCTTGCTAGTCCCTTCCACCAGCCCTGATCTGCCTGCTTTGCATAAAGAAGCAAAAGGGATCCAGTGATAATGTCAAAAATTACATACGTTATAAAAATGGAAAATATTGTGACTTTAAAATGTAATTAGCATGATGATGACGTTGGGGGGAAGGCAAAATATATGCACATTAAACTTTAGATTTAACACTGTAATATCACTATCCAAAACCAAGTTTTGCCTTTAGATATACTGTATGACTAAACATTTAATTATACAATTCTTGTAGATGCTCAGTTACTGCATTTGTGTCCTATTACAATAAGACTCCACAGACGCAAGCTCCCATTCTCACCTGTAGGTTGCTGGCGTACTTAGTAGGGTGGATGGGAGGATGGGCCTGATCTGACTTGCTCCCGTTCCTGGGAGTTGGCCCACCCCTCTCCAAGATGCGTTGGGCAAAGCCACCCCACTGAGGGTCCTGCGTCTGCTGCTCAACCAATGGCGTGAGGTTCAAGTCCTTGGGGAAAATGTTGGTTTCAGTTCGAGGGTAACTGATGTACCTAGAAAAAAAAAAAAGAAAAAAAAAGCTTATTTAACCCTTTCATGACCAGAGTCCCTGGTCAGATCGAAGGTCCCTCTGGATCCTCTCTAAAAACTCAGCTATTGTTTCCCTGCCAGAGAACAGCATCGATACAGAATCTGCAAAACTAATACGATCTACATTTCAGGCTTACTTTTCAATACGATCCCAATGTACCTAAAAGCCCTTCACGGGAGGCCACGTGGCCACATGCAAGAGGTCTAGCAGCTGGGGGTTATTGATGAGAGGCTACATAGAAGATTCTGCTTTGACACGTTTTACATCTATTGTCTCAGAAGACAGCGAGCACAAGTCTGTGTACTACAGTAATAAAAAGAAAGCCGACAGTCTGTTATTAGAGTTTTAGAAGGTGAAATTACCCCTGCGTGTAAAGCTTCTCTGCAATTTTCATGGTCTCCTTCGCTCCAATTTTCAGTTTTCTAGAAGCCAGTTTTTCCATCTCCTATGCAGAAAAAAAAACAATAGAGCGTGCTTAAAATTAAATTATATGGAAAGAGAATTGGTCATTGGCCTGACACAAGAAGAGTCTCATGGGTTAACACTGAACTCCGGGATGATCATATATTGTCCTCATACAAGAGTCCTGTGTATTCTTCTTGAATCTTGGTGAGCTTTGTGTATTCTTCCAGATCTGTGCAGTAATCCAATGTGAGACTTGGAGCTTCCTGTAATAAAGACCAGTCACTGCTGCTCTCTCTCCTTGTGCAGGGTGACTGGTCTTGTCTCCACCCCCTCCTGTAATTTCCTATAATGGGTGATGGTGGCTATGTATAGCCAGTTGTCATCACTGCTACTTTTATATGGCAATATGTTGGTTTACCATGGGATCCTGCTGCACACAAGTGGATTTATAGCCTCTGTGGCTACTGAAGAATTTTGTTGCTGGGAGTACAGCTTTAAGGATGAAGCCATTCTGTAGATTACATTTGGCCTATCACAATATGAGTTGTTCTGACAACGATAATAAAATGCGCCAAGCAAAAGGGAAGACTCTGGAACTATTGCAGCCTTGTGCTTGCTGCATGATCAGCATGTGAAAATTAAAGCGTTTTAAATGGACCACAGTAATCATCTAAACTCAGGTTTAATTAAAGTGAAGTGCACTCATCCCGATAAATTTGAGCCAGTGTGCGACACTGAAGCTGTCACATGTTGACTCTCTAGATCAAGAACTGATCGCTCAGTTCATGATATTCTCCCAGCAGAAAGCAGTGACAGTCACTGCTCCCCACAGGTATTGCCCCCTTCCCTTCTTTATTCCTCCAGCACTCATTGTAGGGGCAGACAGGGGAGGGGGCGGGCACATCTGGCTCTGGATCTAGAGAGGCAGAGCCCCCTGTCAATCAGGTAGCGGGTTGGATCCTGACAATATTGTCGGGATCCTTCCCGGGTACAATGTCAATCTGTGCTCTCAGCATTTAGCGAGCAATATCTTGCTATATGCGGTGTTTTGGGTCACAGAAGGACATTAGTAAACGTCCTCCTTGTGACCCAAAAGAGAACTGACACCAAATAAGGTTTGGCCATACTAATCTTTTAAGAGCAGAAACTGTCCATTTACAGCTTTATAAATGCCTCTCCTAAACAAATTTATACCAGGATAATCAGCTTATATCTTGTACATACCACAGTGTCCAGGGCCACCGGCCTCCATTTGCTCTTCGGTTTGCTTCCCACTTGAACGACTGTGGCTGTGGGATCCTAAAAACAGAACAACTTTTCGGTATGTATTGATCAAATGTACACACCTCATGCCTCTGATTCCACTAAACTGCGGTCTGCAATGAGCTTCAGATATCATCTAATCATTATTTAAAAATTGTATTCTGCATCCCACCCCCCACAGCAATACTCGGACCAAGAGGTTGATTTGCTGTAAATTTGTCATCATCAAGCAAATGCCTGGCTTCCGTACCTCCATGCAGATCTGGTAGAGAACAAGGCATGCTGTGTGGTTAAACAAACGGTTCCTCTTCCAGGTGAACTCCACATTCCCATCTTCATGTTCATGAGTCACTGAGGAATACAAATAGCACAGAATGAGCAACATGAGTGGGTTAAAAATGCTATTGCTTGCCACACTAGCAAGCACTATCCCTGTAGATTTTGGGTATGTGGACATATGTGACATTTACTTTAGTTTTTAATCCTTTTGCCTCTACAGTTTGAAAAACAGTTTTAAACACAACAGATCTTTTATCTGCCTCGTCCCTCACATTGTTGATCTACATTCATTCAATATTACATGCGTCTTTCTACAATTGCCAATTAAAGATAACTCAGATAATTATATTTCAGTTTCTGGTAGATGCTGGAGAGTAAACCCCGGCAGTCTATTCTATCCCACGGTGACTCTATGGGCGAGAACTCTGTATGGAGTTCCCGGTCTGCACACATGCTGTCCCCATTATTAGGGGCTCCTACCATCCCCACTGGATTTTGCATTTAATATTGAGAATGTAACATGAGAAATCGGGATACGCAAAAGGTGGGTGAGGACACCCAATACTCCAAAGTGAACAGGTGCAAGGTCAGGAATTATTGCAGGGAGATCTCACTGTTGGTCTCCGAACCATATACAAAGCAAGAAGTTTACTCCTCGTATGACCAACCTTTACTGCTATCAAAAAAGGGATTAAACAAAAAAAAGAAGGAGGAAAATGAGGGGAAACCTATGACAAGAACACTGCAATTAAATAGGACAGTTGTTCCCCCTTCCTCCCTAACAAAACCTTTGGCTTGGGTTCTCATTTTACAAACAGAATGAAAAATGGAAGAACTGGAAATGCTGTTTACCCCAAAAAAAAAAAATATATGAAAAGATTGAGCAGAAGACAGACTTAAACTATACTAGAATAGTGTGGGCTTCCCATCTGTCCTTTTTGATTGTTTTGTATGCTGGAATAAAATTGTCCGTGTACACCCCAAGCAAAAACACGCGGCAGAAATCAGCAGTTTTCTAACTTTAAGATATAAGCCCGTCAAGTCCAGAAATACCTTTGATCTTGTAGAAGGTCTCGGGAATAAAAGCCTGGATAGCTTTGAACCTCTCAACCACAAACCCCAAGGTGGGGAACTGACAGCTTCCATAGCTGATGAGCTGATCAGACAACACTGAGGGGAAAATCTTCTGGAGGCGCAGAGTCTGGAATCTGGTAAAAGCAGCACCTGTATGAAACATAGTATTTAGTTCGTTTATACAGCTTTTATTTTTTAATTCATGTTTATTGATAGTTTTCAGAATACAAAATCCGAATAAGACAGTATTAAAGCCAAGTACAGGTCATCGGTATATAGATGTAAGTGTACAGCGTTTTGTTAAAACAGTAAATGCTAAAGACAGCAAGATGTTAGAGAACAAACTACAGATTATATCCGAGGCAGAGAATATATTCATATATACTGGTGTTCTTATCGTCTTACATAGAGCCGACAGGCAAAATATAGTCTCAAATAATGCAACAAGTAAATTATCATGATCGGATTGGAAGAAAAAGGAAAGACTAGAATAGAGTCAAGTGAAGAAAAGGGGTAAAGGAGGAGAATGAGGAGGAGGGGGTGTCAACAGGTCTAGAGAAATGCTATCTGTAGTAAAATGCGAAGAAGCCAGGTCTAAAGCGATGGCAGTATGTCGAGGGAGAGGGAGAGGGAGAGGGAGAGAGAGAGAGAGAGAGAGAGAGAGAGAGAGAGAGAGAGATGGACAACAAAAATATTTTAATTCCTTGCCTCATCTGTAACGCTTTGCGTCTAGCTTGTCAAATTGATGGGAAATCCTATCAGACCGTTATCAATGGAGCAGGTGTCCCCATTGAAAGATTTCCCCCTCAACTCTTGCTCAGGTGACAACCATAAAATTTAGGACTTCCTATCACTTCAGATGAACGTAAGCATTGTAATGTCCAAATTGTTTTACTATGACAAAAGCAAATAAAAAAAAGCATGCCAACATTTCTGGGTCCATTTATTAGGGTGCAATGGTCCGTTACATTTTCAGAATTGGTTCAGTCCACAAAATGCTGATTCATTTGTACTCAGGACATAGAGTAAGGTCCCTACCAATCCGAAGGTCCAGCTCCATCCTTACATCCACTGCATCACTGGTGTTCTGATCTGGTTGGATCAAGTTCTGACAAGCTGTTGTGATGGAACGAGGGGTGATCTCTGAGAAGCGGGCACGGAATACCTGCAAATTGGGTTTTACTGAAAGTGAAAGAGAGAAAAGAAAATGTAAGATACAGCATGCTGCATTTCCTTAGAGCATGGTCTACAAGCTTCTTAACTCCTTACAGCCAGCTCCTGATGACCCTTTAAGGGGTTCTTAACTGCCTCCGGGCCGGCCGTAGTAAAAAAATGGCCGGCCAGGAGCTCTCTAGATCTGAGCGGGCGTCTTTAGACGTCCGCTCAGACACGCCCCCTTGCGCGCGCCGCCGGGCGCGAGCGGGAAATGGCCGCAATTTTAAAACGGGCAGCGATGCCCGTTAATATACATGCGATCCGCCGGCTGTAAAGCCGGCGGATCGCTTGTATTTAGCGACGATCGGTGCGGCCCCCCCTCCCTCTGCTGTCCCCCCCGCCATTGTCCCGCTGATCCCGGGCTCCGCTGTGCCCGGTGCGAGCCCGGGATCAGCATGTCGCCTGTGACACAGGGGATCAGAGAGAGCTCGGTACACGAGCTCCCTCCGGTCCCCTCTCCTCTGCAAGAATGCGGAAGTGTTGTATAATACATCACTTCCGCATTCTTGTGTCACTCTCCAGCTTCAGAAGCTGCAAAGAAGCTGATGGAGCAGATCTCTGCTTCATCAGCTTCTTTTGGGGGGTCCTAGGTGACATTAGGGGTCTTGGAGACCCCTGATGTCTCCATAAAGAGGACCTGTCACATATTTTGCTATCACATAGGGGGGTTTTATTAGCCACCGTATGTGATAGCAATAAAGTTAAGTGGAAAAAAAAAGGAAAAAAAATTAAAGTCCCCCCCAAAAATTTTTTAAGTTACACATAAAAAAGAATTTAAAAAAAAATTCAAAAAAAATAAAAGTCCCCACCCATACATACACGCATGCATACATGCGTCGGGGGCGCATACGTGCAAAAAAGACGATTGCGCCCATTACGCCGCACATGTTACATATCGCCGCGAACGTCGCAGGGAGAGAAATAAGTCTAGGGCCATCAATCACTGATAACACTAAACTGATGAGCGGTAAAAACGTTTAAAGCGTCGCCTATGGCTAATTTTGGTTGCGGTCGTTTTCTGCGATGTCGCGGGTGCGTGCAATTTTAAACCTTGACATGTTTGGTGTCTATTTAACCAACGTGACCCAATCTTTTATATGTGACCAAAAAACTGGGTAATAATAAATGTTTCCTAACAATGTTAAAAAAAACTTTTTTTTTTCAAAATTTTCAGTAATTTTTCCTAATTATAATAAAAAATAAAAACCCCCAGTGGTGATTAAATACCACCAAAATAAAGCTCTATCTGTCCCCAAAAAATGGTATAAAATTCATTTCAGTACAGCGTTGCATGACGGAATAAACGTCAGACAAAGTATCGCAGCGCTGAATACTGAAAAATGGCCTGGCCAGGAAGGGGGTCTAAACACCTGGTCTTGAAGTAGTTGAAGTTGAAGGGGTTTCCTGGGCTTCCCAAACACGTGATCACTGTGATTGGCTGTCACAATAACAACGTTATCCAGAGCTCGTTATCCCAGCTCATGATTGTATACCGTGATCGGGGGGCTGTCAGTGAAAGTACAGTCACAGTGCTGGGGGGGGTGCCGTGTGAGTGTGCTCCCAGCACACAAGAGCAGCGCCCGCTGTATGCAAATATCTGACAGCATGGCGTTAAAGCCCACCATTGTGCTGCCACATATGAGCGTATGGTTGGCGGCAACAGGTTGATTCAGAATGCAAGGGTCCCATGACTATAGTTATCCGTACAGGAAATAAATACCACGGGGCCCATTTATAGCAGAAAGCAGAAATCTGTTTTCCGCTATGCACCTCATTATTTCTACACACTGTGACCTGCATTTTAAGGCCTGTTCATGAACTGCAGGCCGCTGTCTGGAGCCGTTGATCTCAATATGGCGAGATCAAACAACAGGGTGCCCACAAACAGTCCCACAATAACAAGTAATGTGTACAATTTTCCAGGACTGTTTGCAGTCTCTTAGGGAGACAATGTGAGCCTTCAGCTGACTGAGGTGCTTCTTACTGCACCTATTGCAAATCTCCCTAAAAAACCCAATTGGGAGTAGTCCAGTAGCGTTTTCCTATATCTGATCCGATAATATAGAATCCTGCTCATTATCGATGTTTCTATTAACGCCCCACCTGGACCTCAGACACACACAATTTGCTTTGGTTGATAGGAGCAACTGCGATGCTAGTATAGACTCGTTATTCTTGGCACATGACAGGGAAATAGACTCTCCTGTGTATTGTGTTGCCTTGCTTATGTGTTATTTTCTTTTTATACCGTATTGTATGAATCCTACGAAAATTCTAATAAAAACTGAATCAACATAAAAAAAACCAATTGGAAAGGAAGGTGGAGTATCGGAGAAGATGTCAAGTACTCCTTAGAGGGCACTGTGGATGAAGAAGTCACCTAGCTGCAGAGAACATAACATACTAAAGGGAAAAAGGTACATTCAGGCCTATGTGTTCCCTGTTCTCAAGCAATAATGACAGGTTTGCTGTAACCGTAAGCGCCAGGATGCTCATAGTTTGATAGCTCTGGGTATAAGTAATGTACAATTTAGGCGACAGTGCATAGAAGGCATACAGATATAATACCTGCTTTGCAGACATCGATAACCTCAAAACCGATGTTTTCCCCTTCTCGGTCACAATCCGTCCATATGACAAGAACCTGACACTGCCGAACCTCTCGCTCCAGCGTTCTCTGAAATCACCAAAATGACAGCTCTAATGGCGTTATCCTGCGCTTCCTTCTTTGCTATAAGTTATTATCGCTTCTGCTGTAGATAGGAAAGCTGAAATGCTGTAAACAAAAAGTATTTCTGTCCTCCAAATCTGAAGCCAGACTTCTCTATACAGGTAATAAGATGGGTCTTACAAAGGTACTTTTCCTCAACTACATATATTAGCATTTTCATTTGTCACATATATTGTTGCCTCCCTCCTCTGACCTTAAAGAGCCTATGCTGCCTTTCCACATTGGCATACTTACCGAGATTCAGCAACCGTGGCCTCCCATATTTGTTCACATCCCGCTCCAAAGGCCTCTCTCTGCTGACCATGCCTGTGCAGTAGATCCCCAAAGAAGTCTATGGACTCTACTGTGTAGCCAGAGGACTTTGGTTCAGGATGTAAACAAATACTGCAGGCAAGCACAGGATTTTGGTTAGTAGGGCTGCAACAACTAATCGATTAAATCGATTATGAGAATAGTTGGCCACTATTCTCATCATCTATTAGTTAACAAAAAATTATTGGGCGACTAATCAATTTGAAAATAATAGTTAGCTGCAGCCCTATTGGTAAGTATGTATCTGTGGAGAGGGCAGGTAGGCTCTGCTAGGTCAAGGGAGGAGGGTATGTAATTCTAACCTTCCCCCTCCATTGCTCTGAAATGGTTACCAGCATCACCCCCCATCACAAGTGTCCACACACAGGTTTTGCAATATGGAACAAGAAAGGGACCGTGTCTGACAAAGTCTGTTAGATTATGGAAAGCTGGGTGGTCAAACTCTTGTGCCTATTGGATTGCACAGCCAGATGTAGACACCGTGCCCAACTGCTTAACAGAAAAGTGGGGGTTAAGTTTGTACAATGTCTACCTGAACTTCCTATGCTTCTTGACTCCATCTAGTTGCGGGAAGGCCGCACAAAATGGGAATCGCACAGCGAATGACTAGGCGAAAGGTTTATAAATAGACCCCAAAGTGTTTAATATATTTTACTGTTAAGTGCTTCAGACCATCATTTGTTTACCTTGATGTTAACCATATCATCAGAGCAAACCTTCTCAACTTCAGCATCGAAAAGAGAAACTGGGTTGCAGCTGTGCCTGGAAAACAAATGGGAGAAATCAAAGTAGATTAAAGCACCATTCAGCAGAGGAATTTCCATCATGTTCCTTCTGCAAAAGTTGATCTAATGATTGACTTCTGTCGAGGGGATAGGGTCACCAACAGACCGAATTTTTGCTGATTCCTGCTGAATCATCCAAAATTCACTCCGTGTGTACCCAAGTTTAGAAGGTGCAATAAACTGCAGTCCTTGTGCAGCAGAATATGCGGCATGCTCATGTAATTAACAAACATGGCTGCCTCCAAATACGTGTACACCGATCAGCCGAAAAAATTATGACCACTCAGAAGGCAAGCCGGAAGAGGAGGAGGCATTGTGATGCTCTCTGGGCAATGTTCTGCTGGGAAACCTTGGATCCCGCCATTTATGTGCATGTGTTATTTTGACACGTACCACCTACCTAGACATTGTGCCAAGTCCACCCCTTAATGGAAATGTTATTCCCTGATGGCAGTGGCCTCTTTCAGCAGGATAATGTGCCCTGCCACACTGCAAACATGGTTCAAGAATGGTTTTAGGAACACAGCAATGAGTCTGAGGTGCTGACTTGTCCTCCAAATTCTCCAAATCTCATTCCAATTGAGCATCTGTGGGACGTGCTGAAAAAACAATCTGATCCGATCCATGGATGCCTCACCTCACAACTTACAGGACTTAAAGGATCTGCTACTGACAGCTTAGTGCCGGATACCACAGCACACCTTCAGAGGTCTAGTGTACCATGCCTTGACGGGTCAGGAAAAGTGGGACCGACTCAATATTAGGCAGGTGGTCATAATGTTATGGCTGATCGGTGTATAGAACCCATGATCAGAAACACAGTTTTTAGAACTTTAACACACAAGGATACAATTATTTACATCAAAATGTATGTATAGCCCAAATCTTCTTTACTTTTGGATATAGTAGCAGAGGATTTGAACTCCTGTCACGTTTTTAATGTTGTCCGTGCCCCCCGATTAGGAGATTCACCCAGTCTGTTTCTCCTGTTAACTACTGTCACTGATGGGAAACCAAAAATGTTACATTTGTCACCAAAAGTGAGGGGAAAGCCTTCCAATGGGGACAAATGTTTCAATGACAACTGTTTAAGAGGGACATTCCCCTTAATTAGGAGAGATTTCCTCTCACGTCCTGTGGTATTCCCAGGAAGTGAAGAGACATCTCCCCAACAGGACACAGAAAATAAAAAATAAACTAACAGGTGTTTAACCTTTCCCTACTCTATCCAAACCTAAACAACTGCCTATAAATACATTTACAGCTAATCAAGGTGACAGATATCTGAATAATTTATGAGACTACAAATTCCCTGTAAAGAATACTGGACACTTAGCCAGCAGTGCGCCCCCATGTAGAATAAAATAATACCCACCAGGATTTAAGATGCCTCTGGAAATCCATCCCCAACAAATGTCCAGAGACAGAGGTCATGCTGACCGTCACGTCCTGCAATGATACATAAGAATTCATGTTTGTTACTATATCTCTGTGTATCAGTCTCTCAACTATTTCTTCCCCTGGGAGCCCTTGAGATCATTTTTAGGTCTCAGGGAAACCCTGCTAAAAGTTGATATATCTGCAGCTCAAGATACATTAGTGTGATCATCAAGTTTCAGAGAAAACAAAGAATGTGGCATTTGTAGTGCAATCGACTCCCACAGCAGATCATTTTGAACACCCTCCTGCTCTATACAGCAATTATCTTCTGTAATAATCCTGAAATATCATGAATAGACTTACATTGGTGGTTAGTGTAGAAATGTCCTCTAACATTGGTAGAAAGTGGAGATATGCCCTCTTACATTGGCCCTCTTACATTGGTGGTCAGCGGGGAACTGGCATCTTACATTGGTGGTCAGTGGAGATATGCCCTCTTACATTGTTGGTCAGTGGAGAAATGCCCTCTTACATTGGTGTTCAATAGAGAAATGCCCTCTTACATTGGTGGTCAGTGTAGAATCCCCATTAAATTGGTGGTCAGTGGAGATATGCCCTTTGACAATTGGTGGCCAGTGGAACAATGCCCTCTTAAATTGTGTTTAGAGTATAAATTCCCTTCTTACATTGGTAGTCAGTAGTCATAGGTAGTAAGAAGAGTCCCTTACATTGGTGCTCAATAGAGAAATGTCTCTTACATTGGTGGTCGGTGGAGAAATGCACTCTTAAATTGGTGGTCAGAGCGTAAAAGCCTTCTTACATTGGTGGGCGGTAGAGAATCCCCCCCCACCACCTTACATTGGTGCTCAATAGAGAAATCCCCCCTTACATTGGTGGTCAGTGGAGGGATTACTCCTTAAATTGGTGGTCAGAGTATACATAGCCTCTTACATTGGTGGGCAATAGAGAAATGCATTCTTACATTGGTAGTCAGTGGAGAAATGACCTCTTACATTGGTGGTCAATAAAAGAGCCCCTTACACTGGTGGACTGTGGAGAGTTTAATTTGGGATCATCGGATAAGTACCACCTTATAGGAGGTCAGTCTAAACGTAAACCCTTACATTGGATATCAATGGAAAATTCTGCCCCTAACATAGGTGTACGAGGGAGATCAATATGCCCCTGCCCAGGGAAGCCCTAGCAACCTCTGGAGGAACCCTGGTAGAGAAAGGCTGCGCTATATAAAATGTCTGTGTTCTGTCTTGACTTCCACTGATGAATGTGCTGATATTGTTCCTGTTTCCACTACTTACCCTTCCAAACAAATGATACTCATATTCATAGATCTTGTTATACTTCGAAAACCCTTCTCTCTGCCGGAATTAAAACAAAATGAATATAAGTTTAATTTAAAA